ATGAAGCCTGTAACCTGGACATGTGCCCTGACCAGGAATTGAACCATGACCTCCTGGTTCATAGGTTGACATTCAACTACTGAACCACGCCACCTGGGCTAAATATGTTTTATTGATTTTTTCAGAGAGAGAGAAATGGAGAGAGAGAGAGAAAGAGAGAGAGAGAGAGAGAGAGAGAGAGAGAGAGAGAGAGAGAGAGAGAAAGAGAGAGAGAGAGAGAAATGTAAATGAGAGAGAAACATTGATCACTGCATACTCTCTACTGAGGGTCAAGGCTGCAATCCTGGCATTTATGCTAATCAGGAATCCAACCAGAGATATCTTGGTACATAGGACGATGTTCAAACAACTGAGCCACACCAGTGAAGCAAAATTTGTAATATTTTTAATTATCTTTCAGACTCCATGGTCCCTCAAGCTATACTTTACCATAACTTCACTTTTGAGAGTTCGTTGTTTCTTTTTTCTGATGTAATAGACATTTTGATAGAATTGTAGCATTAGTATTTAAAATTTTAATTTAATGTTAATAAGAGAACTGGTTATTTGCTATCTTTCTCATGATTCACCCACTCGTTTTCCCCTGACATTGTACACTGGAAACTTTTCAGACTTTAGTCACAATGGAACAGCTTGCTTATGCCACAATATCAGATACCAAGATGGTGAGGGATTCACCAATCCAAGTGACATAGGGTCTGATTACTTGTTATTTATGAAACTTAGTTTCCTCATCAGTATTAGTTCAGCGAATAGCAAGAGTTCACACAAATAGTTACAGGATCAATAGCAATTCAGGTCAATATTTATTGAGCAGTTATTACATGTTTTTGCACATATATATATATATATATATATATATATATATATATATGCCAGGAACTAACTAGTACCCATTGGAGCATGAAGTGAGAAAGCAGACTATTAAATTAATAATTTTCATGGATTAATAATACCTTGAGATCTAAATTCAAGAGTAGCAAGAGAAGCTATAAAAAAATGGCTTGATCCCACATGTTTATTTGTTTTTTTCCAGTTTTTTAAAAATCAAATGAAATGCTTACATTTTCTCTAAGACTGACTAAATAACTAAAATACCTAGTTTCTTTCTGGCAGCTGGAAAAATTTTAACTTTGTTTGGCAAGATTAGTTCTATTATGCTGAGCCAGAGCCCTGGTTGGTAGCTGGAGCCATAAATAGCAATTCTGGCATCTGTGGCATATGACATTCCTGTATGTGCCCTGACTGCGGATCAAACCCACAACCCTGGCACATGAGATGATGCTCTAATCAACTCAGCTATCCAGCCAGGATAAAATTAACTTTTAAATTCATGTTGTGGCTCATAGATGGGTGTTATTACCAATGTGCACCATCTGGTAACTTTCTATTTTAACTATGCATTCTTGCTAACTAGATTCTGAGCTTTTAAAATCATTATTTTAAGTTTATGTGACTAAACATTCATGACCTGTGGCAAAAAGTCCTGGTCATCCTGCCCTCATTAGAGTCCTGGATTTGATTTTAAATGAGAGAACATAATATCACTTAAAGAATGTTTTTCATAAACCAACATTTTCAAACATGAAGTCCAAGAAATAAAAAGCAAAAGAGAGCCCTTGGTGGTTAAAAGACTCCATGCTCCATTACCAGGTGATGTCTCCAGTTCCAACACTTTATCTGTTATTTATGTGTCTGCAGTGCTCAGTGTTTGGCACATAGTGGGACATACACATTTGGCACATACAAATTTAAATGGAAGAATGCCAATAGACCAGAAACATTACAGCAATCCTATATGGTTGCTGATGTCCTTTAAAAGGTTAGGCCTAGGCCAATCTCCAAAGGCTAGGACAATTTGTTATGTGGATAAAACCTTGAGCTAACTGGATGCCTTCTTCATATGTTTTGTGAATTTAAACTTCTGCAGACACACCCTTGGGCATTATCACCTCATGTGAGCAGCTTGTGTGGTTTTGATATTTTTTTTCTGATGTTATATTCTTTGCTTACCTCTATATTTTAATTTTTGAGATGTCCAATTGTGTAGATTTTTTTTTAAGCAATGGAAATCTCTTGCAGGGGCACCTGGGCAGGCCAAAACAGCCAATATCAACCCCTAAGTAACTATTGTGGAGGCCTGGGCATGGTCAGTAATGCCCTGATTCATTTTCCCTTCTGCTTTTGGCTATAAAGCCACAAATAATATAACTCAAGGCAGAATTTTCTCCCTCTCCTCCTCCCCTCCCTTTTCTCCTCCTTTTTCTCCTCCTTTTTAAATCATTATTTTCTTTTTGCCACTAAGAGTTCAATTTACAAGGCTGCTTAAAAAACATTCTCCTACTTGTAGTCCTGAAACTTTTATATTTTATATATGCTTATATTCCTCTTTACTAACTATGAACTACTTTGTTGGTTTGGGGAAAATGGGAAAATAGCCTATATACTAAAGAGCTAACATGCAAATAGTTATCACCGCTCACATCATCATGCCCTCAAGCCATCACATCATACTGCTCAGACACTCAACACTGGAGAGAGAAGTATAGGAACCAGCCAGGCACAAATGAGCTCCCAAGAGAGGAATGGGGACCATCCAGACTGCAGCCTGGGAGAGGGTCAAGTTGCCTGTCTCGTGGTCCTGGATGCTAGAAGCTGCACCTGCACCTGCATCCCAGGAGAGGGACAAGCCACATGCCCCATGGTCCTGGGTGTCAGTGGCTGTGCCTGGGCCTGTGGCCCAGAAGAGGGACAAGCCGCCCACCCTGAGGTCCCAGGCACCAGTGGCTGTGGCCTAGGCAAAGTTGCCAGCCCACGGTCTACTGCAGCTGCAGCTGGCCCAGGTGAAGCCAGTCTGGGTCCCAGGTCCCTGTAACCAGCCAGAGGAGGGAGTCCTGTAACCTGAGTGCAGGGGAGGCAGAGGTAGTTAGGGGCAATCAAGCCAGGAGGGGAATAGTTAAGGGCAATCTGGCAGGCAGGCAGAGTTGGTTAGGGGCAATAAGGCAGGAAGGCAGGTGAGTGGTTAGGAGTCAGTGGTCCCAGATTGCGAGAGGTAGTTGGAAATCACCCAAGGGGTCACAGATTGGAAAGGATGCAGGCTGGGCTGAGGGACATCCCCCATGCACAAATTTTGTGTACCAGGCCTCTAGGGTTTATAATACCATCTACACTAATAAAAGAGAAAGATGCAAATTGACCATACCTCCGCTATGCCTACCAGCTAATCAGGAGTGAGTATGCAAATTAACCCAACAAAATAATGGATTAATTTGCATATGCAGCCACAGAGTGAAGAAAGAAGACTGAAGGCTCTGCTGTGGCTGGACCAAGCCTGAAGGCTGAAGACTTGGCTCCACTGCAGGCTGGGTCCCAGGTCCTGGAGGAAAACCGGTGCTGACAGTCAGGGGAAGTGAGGCCTATTGCACAAATCTTCAAGCAATGGGCCTCTAGTTCAGAATATAAAAGGGAAAGAAAGATGCTTTGAGCTTAGAAAATTGGAATTGCATATATAGGGAAGACAATTTTCAGTTTAGCATTGGCCTTAAAGAACACAAACACCAAGGATTTAAATTTAATAAAACCAAAGTTGTTTCTCAGTCTCAGGCCAACAGCCATTTTGCAGACACCATCTTGTGGTTGCGAGGCTCATATGGTGCTCTTATAAACAAGGTAAACTCACCTCTTCTCTGATTTTACTTCTTATGAGAAAATTCTGTCATTTCCCACACATGGTGAAGGTCCAGAGCTTTTCCTGCAAGGATTCACAAGAACAGTAAACTTGGCATAGGTGGAATCTTTCATAATAGGAGAAATAATCCATCACTTCCTATGTAGGTTTAACAAGTTGACCTTTGTCTAACATTTTTCTTGTAGAAAGAACGCTTTAACCCAAAAGAGACATATACACAAATAACTTAAAGATGGGTGAAGAGAAACTCAACAAAATCAGTTATTGACCAATCTATTACTCTCACGCTATCCAAAATATTATTGCAAAGATAAAAAATTGCAAGAATTGGGGTATTCCTTTAAAAAAAAAAAGTGATTAATTTGAGAGAAAAGAGGAAGGGAGATTATCTCTCTATATAAAAGCCTAAGTGACCACCGACCAGCCATGCACTGACCATCAGGGAGCAGACACTCAATGCAGGAGGGGAAAATACAGGCATGGAAACATGGAACAGACTGATAAATCTCAGAATGGGGCAGAATAAATAGATTAACCAAAGATCTTATATGCATACTAGTAGCCCTGTGCATGAATCGTACACCAGTAGCTCTCTGCAGGGTCTGGCCACTCTGTGCCCGCTGCCCAGAGGCTCTCCATGGCCCAAAGACCCATCTGCAGCTGGGCGAGGAACACTTACTTTGTCTCTGGGGTGATGAAGCAAGTATTCCAACAGACTGTTCATGCTGCCCACTCTCAGTTACCGCCCCCCACAGGACTGGGGGACTCTGGTGGGGCTGAGAGGACTGGGTGCTGCCATCTTGTGGCTATGGGCATGCCATCTTTGTGATTGGGTCATGGTTAACTTACATATTACTCTTTTATTAGATAGGACTAGAAGTCTGGAGCATAGATTCGTGCACCAGCAAGGTTCTTTGGCCTGATCTATGCCCTCTGACAATCTGGGACCCATTGGAGAGCCAATTTCAGCCCAATCCCCACAGGCCAGGCTGAGGGGATGAGAGACCCCACCACTGCATGAATGAGAGAGAGAAAATGAGAGCGAGAGAGGGAGAAAGAGAGATATTGATTTGTTATTCCACTTATTTATCCATTTTGGTTGTGGCCAGGGTATTGTTTATTTTGATTAGGGAGATACCCACTGTGCCTTTTCTTCTTGTTTTCTTGATTTATTTCCTTTAGATGAGAATTGGGCTGACAGGAAAAAGTGTGACTGAGGATGGTCATATATTTATATTTCCAGCTTGTTTTGTATTTTAAATGGTATTTGCCATGATCCTATAATGATGTGTAGTTGTTGTTTTTCCCCCAGAATGTCGAGTTGTGAAGTCCACTTCTTACACCAAAATAGCTTCGTCATCTCGCAGGAGCACCACCAAGAGCCCAGGACCTTCCAGGCGCAGCAAGTCGCCAGCATCGACTAGCTCAGGTAAAGCAACAAAGGATACTTTGAAGAAAGTGCTTTGTTTATGAACCATGACAAGCCGAGGGTGTGTGAAGTCCAGAGTGTGAGGGTTTAAGATAGTGTAAATTTTAGAACATGTCAGAATGGTGGAGCATCTTTTCCTGGGTCTAATATGTTTGCTATAAGACAAAACATTGAGCTTTGGAAAACTAACTTAGGTAAAATCAGAAAACACAGATTCGGCCACAAGTAGAAGTATACTACTAACTTGCATAATTTCTACCACAAAAATTAATTTTTCAGGCTAAAGGCCACTTACTCTAAAAGTCTCTGTTAAACTTGGGACTGCCTTATGAAGAGTTTCCAATTTGTATTTGCTAAATTTTAGTTTACCATTGGCAAGGCTGTGGAGCTAACAGCAGTGGGAATGAGAGCCTGGTGCAGGGAAAGCTGCAGTGACTTGGCCTCTGTCCTATCTCCTGGGTTCTAGTGGTGGTATTGGAGCAGGAAGTCTACTCATAAGATGACTATGTCAGTGCTGCCTTTTCTTTCCTTGGTCTTAAAACTGATATGAGTAAGGTTATTTTTGTTTCTGTCTTTGTGTTTTTTTTTTAAACTCAGGTGTAATATCTGTTTCATTATTAATTATTTATTAAAGATATAAACTGTGGAATGGGAATTATTAAATGACTAGAGGCTCAGTGCATGAAATTTATGTATGTGGAAAGGGTGTGTTCCTCAGCCTTTCCAATCTGGGACCCTCTAGGGATGTCCAATGCAGTCGGATATCACTCTCACAATAAAGGACTGCTGGCTTCCAACTGCTCGCCTGCCTGCCTGCCTGATTGACCCTAACTGCTTTTGCCTTCCAGCCTTATCACCCCCTAACTACTCCCCTGCTAGCTTGATTGACACCTAACTGTTCCACTGCTGGTCTGATGGCCCCTAACTGCCCTCCCTTGCCAGCCTGGTCTTCCCCAAATCCCCTCCCCTGCATGCCCAGCCCCCCTGCAGGCCTGATCACCCACAACTGTCCTCCCCTGCTGACTATCTTGTGGCAGCCATCTTGTGTCCACATGAGGGCAGCCATCTTTGACCACACAGGATGGCCATCTTGTGTGTTGAGTGATGGTCAATTTGCATATTACCTCTTTATTATATAGAATAAATATATATAAATGATTGTCACCTGATTTCATAAAGATAGTGAAGTTTTTAGGAACAAAGGCCTTTAGAGCCTATTCAGAGACCTTTTTGTACTCAATAGCATGGCCCAGAGGGATGTGAAGAGTTCTCTAGGCTGGGGCTACAAGGCATGCCTCTGGTACCACCCACCAGCTATTGCACTACTATGTATAAAAGTTATAACCTCCATATTTAAAAATGGAGATGCTGTAATCTGTTTTTCCTAATAATAAGTAAAACTGAAATCTTCAAAGTGAGTCTTGGAAGCAGGAACTCTCAGTAAGCTAGATAATTAGAGTGTAACTTAGAAGGTTCTTTGTCACCTTCTTCTTATGCCTTTACTGATTCCCCAGACATTCTTCAAAGACCTTGTTGTTCTTTGACACTTGCTTGAAGAGTAGAAAAAATGTTCTACCACTGCTCCCTTCTCATAGCATGATTTACATTGTAGAAGTCCAATGCGCTATCCATTGCACTACAGAGCCTACCTGCATGATCTACATTGTAATCAGCCAGGGAATAAGTCTCAGAACATGGCTGGCACTTTATTTTATTTATTTATTTATTTATTTTTAAAATATATTTTATTGATTTTTTACAGAGAAGAAAGGAGAGGGATAGAGAGTTAGAAACATCGATGAGAGAGAAACATTGATCAGCTGCCTCCTGCACACCTCCTATTGGGGATGTGCCCGCAACCACAATACATGCCCTTGACTGGAATCGAACCTTTCAGTCCACAGGCTGACACTCTATTCACTGAGCCAAACCAGTCTCGGCATGGCTGGCACTTTAGATGCAGCTTGTTTACCTTTCCTAGTTTAAGGGTGGGCTGAGAATTCCTCCCTTGTTATGGATGACAGAATTCACCAAGACTGGATGAACACTGAAATGAGACTTTGCTAAAGGTTAAGGTAATGAAACTTAATGTTTAGAGCATGAATGTCACTTGGTAACTTGGTAAAGTTTATCATACTGATCCCTGAGCCCTTTTAGCAAGTATTCCAGATTATTCAAATTATATAATCTATAAGCCTTTAGTTAGAGAAATAGTTGTTAAGGAATTGGTTCCCAAAGTGTAGTTTCCTGGACCAGTAGTATCACCATCACCTGACTTGTTGGAAAAGCAAGTCTTGAGCCCCTTCTCAGACCCACTGAATCAAAAACTCTGGAGTTGGAGCCCAGTAGCTTGGGTTTTCCAAGTCCTCCAGGTGATGCTAATGCTTACTGTGTTACAGATTAGAAAGGGAAGTACAGGAAGCCATCTGTCTCTGGTGATCTGTGGTGAAAAATAGAGCTTGCTTACCTTCATTTATTGGCATGACAGACATGATGTCTTTTCTACCTCTCTGTTTGCTACTGAGGGGCAATGCTCATATGTAATTCTTGCAACCCAAAGGTTGCAGACCTGTAGATATCTTGAAGGATAAATCTGAAGTGTTGCTCAAGATAACAATGAATAAAAGAGAAGCCAACTATCTTTCTACTTCCTTACCATGGCCAACCATCAGAGCAGGAACAATTTTTGTCTGAAGATTATCCTTCCCCTGGAAACTGATATTTTGAAGTCTCTCCCTTCAAAATAGACACCATATTCATACAGAAATGTGGACCACCACAAAATGACAGTGATGCTGGAATTGTTACATGTAAAACTCCCCTAGGAGACCTCAGCTTGTTCATTAACCAATTGACAAGTTACAACCGTGTTCTTTGCAGGATATTTAGCCTTGATCAAAGAATATTCCTCATTTTCTCTGAACAAACATAAACTGTAGGATGAACTCCCATGGAGCAGTAAGAGAGAAAATGATCCAGCCAGTCTGTTGCCCCTAACATCTTGGCTATTTAGTACAATCACAGAAAGATATGAAGGATCAAGAAGCTCCACATTAACTGAAACATTATCAATAATACTAAAAACAACAATAGTGAAAAGCAGAATTAGTTCCTAATCCAAAATAACTGACATTGACAAATTTTACTGAACCTTTATTTATTTATTTTTTGTCTTAGATATACCATCAATTTTTAAATATCGGGTATAGTTGGGGTGAAACATCTACTAATAAGTATTTAAGCCAAATTCTTATTGCTTTTACAAGATATTTCAAGAAACTCAGTATAGCTATTAATTTTTTTTTATCATTGTTTTGAACAGGTTTTGTTTTTAAGAGCTATACGCAGTTTCCAAGTTTGGGTGAAAATCTCTTTTTTCTTTTTCATTTTGACCCCATAAGTCAAGGAAGGGAGGAGGATGATCAGATTACTGTGCACATGTCATAGAATGGAAGACTGAGACCTGGAGCACTTACTGTTTGTTGCTAAGATTTCCAGCACAGATGCGAGAAAAGTGACCCTGTACTTTTTGTGGCAGCCAATATTGGATAAGAAAATACAGGAGGAAAACTTAGAGAGAGAATTTTTGCAACCCAAGTTTTACTTTGTGAATAGTAAAGAGCCTGTTTTACTTCAAAACAAAATCTAAAATTTGAGTTAAAATAAAAAGAATCATGAATCTAATCTTAAAAGATTAAAAATGAATTCATTAAAAATGAATACAGAAAATTATCTCACTTTAAAATTAACTAGTCACTGTTCAGCATCTCTAAGATTATATAAATCTCATAAATATGATACATTTAGTTATAATCTTATAAATATAGATGGATGTATCATTTATCAAAGTAATTTCAGGAGCTCAAAAAAGCAGATAAGCAAATGTATTAAATGTATTTGTATTTGTTACTGCAGACATTTGCAACTATTATTTCTTTATAAATTTAAAATGGATAGATTGCTTCAAACAGACATTTATGTTTTCTATTGTTTTCTCAAAGCAATCTTTTCACCTGGAGTTGAACTTAACTAACCTAGTTGATTTGATCAGCACTAACTTAAAATTTGTGATAGGGATGCCATGCCAGGTAATCATCTCCATAAAGAATTGGAATACAAATTTATTCTAAATTTGTTCTTGAAAAATTAACACTTCATTCAAGGTTTCTTTAACTGCTAGATCAAAATTAATCCAATGGCACTGTTCATGTTTTGTTTAACGTGAGTCTTTTAATGTATATAAAATTTTACACTTGCATTTTGCTCTAGAAGATATGCCATATAATCATTTCCTGGTTGTATAATTGCTTATAATATGCATTGACTGCCTCTTAATTCTGACTTGCTACCAAATCTTACTACCTTGCTCTAATTTAGAAAGGATTTACAGAACAGCAGTATCCAGTCACAAATACATGGATATGTCAGTGACCTCAAGACCACTTTCTTTCCTTGGGACTTAAAGCCCAGGTCTTAGGAATCCAGTGTTATTTACATTTCTTTTCTGGGCCAGTGTAGATGTCAGGGGGACCCCTGCCTTAGCCCCTCCACTCAGCTAGTCTATAACTCCTGTCTGCACTCAGGTATGGCTCTGATAACTAGTGGGGAAAAAAGCAGTGAATTATCTCTATTTTGATTGCATCAACATTTAAAAAAATAGCCTGTTCAATCTTTTTTTTTTTTCATTTTAATTTATTTATTGGTTAGGTATTACATATTTGTCCTCATCCCCCCATTACCTTCGCACCCCCCTTACATACCCTCATCCTCCTCCCCCCTGTTGTCTGTGCCCTCTGGTTAGGCTTATATGCATGCATACAAGTCCTTTGGTTAATCTATCCCCTTTACCTCCACCCTCCCCTAACTTCCCTCTGAGGTTTGACAGTCTGATCTATGTTTCCCTGTCTCTGGATCTGTTTTTGTTCATTAGTTTATGTTGTTCATTATTTCTCATAGATGATTGAGATCATGTCATACTTATCTTTTTCTGACTAGCTTTT